GCTCTAATGAAAGTTAGGAATCCTTGGACATTTATATTAGGTGTGATGAGTTCTCAAAGCGTAAAGAGAAATTCATGAGTTTGTAGTTTTGGTTTATAATTCTCAACTCAGTGGTCCGTAAATCAATCAGTCTATCTTCATAGACCAAGAAGTTTTAGAATTTCTATCCCTTTCACTGTTATGACTTCAAACTTGTAGTGATTTCACTTTTACTGAGAAAACATTCATTATTGTTATGACCAATTGTTACAGGGGACGTTTTATTGATAATTTTGTTTATTTGCACTAATGGAAAGCGCGGTCGCCATCTTGCTTTGGCTGCTCTGCACCTATTCGTCCATTTTCTTCTGGCACGATTTCGATATTCTTTCGATACCATGAAATCGCTAACAAATATACTTAAACAATCTGGACTATTCTTCTTCACGACGGGACAACCAGTAAAGACTAGAACGTAAACGTGCTCATAGTCATCACTGATTCGAACAATTACAAACTAATGAAGAGTTCAATGGTAGGATTTTAAACATTAGTTCAGTTCCTCTTGTATTGATTTTCAACACGGATTAAAATGATGACTATTTCATCTTGTTACCGTTTGATATATTTGAAACTATTACGAGTTCACCTTAGTCGGTAAACAGAACGAAGATCGCTGATGATTCAGTGACACGAGAGGCAATGCCCATCCGATTGCCCTAGGTCCTGCTAACTAGATCAAGAAGTCTTGATAAAGAGTAGAAAATGTATTCTACAAGCACCCAGAAAATACGAGGTTGCTTAGCACTCAACTCAAGCTTATTTATACAATGATAGAAACGCCCTTGTTGAGCACCACAAAATAGCATACTAAAACAATCCATCAATCGATGAAAGTCAAGGATTTTCCTAGTGGGAAATATAAGCTGAAGGTCATCTAAGCGTTTCTTGGCGCGAAAACTATGGATTTCAAAATTTCAAAATATATTTTCATTCATTAAAATAAAAGTGAACTCAACAAATCAATCAAATCTTATAACTAAAATGATTAACCCGACAGTATGAATTCAAATCATGTAATGAATAACATTTTTTAAAAAAACCTCAGTCTTGTAATCATTAATTACGCTTTGATTAAAGTTAGATCAGTAAGAAATAATTGAACGTTTTTACCTTTGATTATGAATTCAATTCTCTGTAACAAGAGAAGTAATACAACGGTTATTTTATTCGACAGTTAATTATATCTCAATAATAATATTACTAATCATAAAACATTGTTAGACCACCATTAGAAACCTGCAAGCACTGGACGACTCTTTCATCCTAGTATGGGACTCATCAGCAGTAAGTATCCAAGACCCCTCCTCGTTGGAATCGAAACTGAGGACCTTCAGTCTCGTTAGTGTAAAGTTTTGGGTGGCCTTGTAGTGAAGGAAAACACAGGTGGGGCAACCGAATTGTATTTAACGAAAATTACAGAGTTACTCAGTAAAATCCGAAAACCATATCGTAAATCGTTAATTTGCAAAATATCAGTTCATCATATCGAACTGGACTGTTCCTGTTGCAAAACATCAATCCATTGTCACTATTCTCATGTGTTTCATACAAATTCCATTGTGTTCTAACTCTTCCTTTCTTGATCTTCCCCCATCTTCTGCTGCTAGACATTACGTTGACACTCACGTCATATACTACTTATAAGTATCTCGCACCACAATATCTCGATAATAATATTAATAATACTGATCATAAAACATTGTTAGACCACCATTAGAAACCTGCAAGCACTGGATGGCTCTTTCGTCCCGGTATGGGACTCATCAGCAGTGAGTATCCAAGACCCCTACTAGTGGGAATCGAACCTGAGGACCTTCAGTCTCGTATGTGGACTCTTAACTACACAACCACTGAGTTGGCTGGTATCCAACGGTGTTAATGTATAACTTTCGCCAGTGTAAAGTTTTGCGTGACCGCACCCATTGTCTTCGGTAGGTAACTACTGACTACACCCAACAGCGTTGAGCTTCACAGGTCACCACTTCTCACTAGAACTCAAAGAATTTCCAAATACTTAGAAGAAATAAAATTGTCATAAACAACTCACTTTAATCAATAATTCTGTTTGAATTAAACTTTCATTGGTTATGCACTGATTCATTTGTTTTGTATCCAATGAAATTTCAATATCTAACGGTTCATATTCCGGCGAACCAGGTAAATGATGAATTTTCGTTATATTCATATTAAAACCGAATTGTTTCGCTTTTGATAAAGATGTTGTATCAAAACGAAAACTAATCGGTTCATAATTTGTATTGATCACAGTGATAGTTTGTTTGACAATTGTACCAAGGATAACTACGCCAAAATCAAGTAAATACGATGGCAAGTATAAACTGTCAAGAGAAAAAAAATAAATTGGAAATTGTACTTTGATTGAACATTGACTATTATTGATCGTGAATATTGAACAGTCTCATATTTAAGGCAATGAAAAACAAAATGGAATCGAGAATAATACTGTTTCGATTACAAGTATAGTGTGTGTGTGTACCTGAGGCCGCAGGGATTAATTAACCTTTACTGCCTGAGTTACTATTCACATGGCCCTCGGCGTCTGTTATTCGCTCATACCCTTGGATGTTTTTACTTTGGTGCGTGTATTCGTCGGTCACATGACTAGCTTATTTTTGTCTAACTATAAATACTCAGTCAAGCATCATCCTATGAAGTTGGCTCATTCACCTTCCCAACCTCTCTTCTCTTTGCTTTTACGCTTTGTATTCTCATGTTTGTCTACGTAAACAATTGCTTGAAATAAATGCATCCAAACGAATCCATATTTAGCTTCTTATTAACCCCATCGCAGAAAGCCGAGTTCGCCTAAGAATGATATATGGAAATCAAAGGGGAGATTTATTTCATAGAATATCCCATCGTTCGGGCAAATTGGAATAAGATTGTGGGCCACTAATCAAGATAACTAATAAAAGGGAAAAACACCGGTGACTGAGTTAGATCCCCAGAACTAGCTTGATTAATGCCTTATTTTGAATTTTACGTTTCCGAGCATGGGCTGATCAGTTGACCCTGAGATCACATTTCCTACCAGGAAAAGCCTTGGCTGTGATTGGTTACTGTAATTTTAGTGTGCTATTTTGTGACTCTCCCAAGGAAGTCTGTATGGAGTATAAATAAACGCAATTTGTGTGTTTGAATGCACTGTGCTTGTTGGGTGTTTGTAGAATACACTTTCTGCGCTATATCAAGACTTCTCGTTAGTGCACTTGGGTCAAAAGATCAGAGTAGCCAACCTGGTCTCGTTCTCGTTATCAACTAAGGTGAACCTGTAACAGTTTTAAGCATACCTAGTGACGAGTGTAACAGTCAGAAAACAGTCGAATAAGTTTGATTATGTAAGTAAGTGAAAATATAATTAATAGAATTGTGAAAAACAAATTCAGTAAAATGTTGAATTAAATTCTGCTATTCAATCACACAAAATGAAGTGATACCTGACTGAGCATCCTGACTGTTTGAAATAATAATAATAATTATTAAGAACTGACATTTGAACATATTTTTAGTCAACGAGTTAGTTATCAGAAAACGACTACTGTAGCAACAGCCTAAGCAGCAGTAGATCTCAATATGCACAAAGAGAAATGTAACATTCTCCGATACAACACAACATGCACCAACCAAATCAAACTTGACAGAGGGGATTTGGAAGGTGTGGAAACCTTCACGTATTTGAGCAGCATCATTGATGAACAAGGTGGATCTGATGCTGACGTAAAACACGGAACAGCAAAGCAAGGGCAGAGTTTCTTTAATTGAGCAACACCTGGAACTCAGAACCACTATCAATCAACACCGAAGTCACAATTTTCGATACAAATGTCAAGACGTTCTACTGTATGAGGCGGAAACTTGGAGAGCCACGAAAGCAATGGTCGAAAAGATACAGGTGTATATGAACAGTTGTCTACGGAAAATATTTCGAATCCGTTGAACAGACATTACCAGCAACAATCTACTGTGGAAGAAAATGAATAAAATTCCAGCAGAGAAAGAAATCAGGAAGAAGTGGTGGAAGTGGATAGGACACACATTGCGGAAAGCACCAAACTGCGTTACAAGACTAACCCTCGCTTGGAATCCTCAAGACCGAAGTAGAACAGGAAGACCGAAGAACACACGCCGACAAATGGAGACACATATGAGAAGAGTGAACCATTATTGGACAAACCTAGGAAGGAAGTATGGCCAAGGACAGAGTAGGTTAGATAATGCTGGTCGGCTGCTCATGCTCTATCGGGAATAACAGGCATACTTAAGTTATCGGTAAAACTCCCTATCACTTACACCTAGCCGATATGACTGATCTAACAATTACTGCCTTTGTAATTGAACATATGATTTTGATTTGCTTAAGTTTAGTCAAGAAAATTCTAACTAAACGAGGTTATCTTTATTATCCTTAGAGTGAAACGAAATAACGTCAACATTGGAAAATTCACTGTGACTCTGCGCACAACAATGAATGTTGTGCTTTTCTACTGCTTCAATCCATCCATTGAATGATGATCTTGAATAACATCTTCGACTACTCAAACTTTTACTACCTCTACCATTATGGGATTTGAATTGACGGTTTAACCTCTTTCTGCTAATGCAGGATGGTACCTTGCACTGATGTACATACGTACCAGGTTCCATGTTGTTTCTGACTGACTGACTGACTAAAGTATTTATGGCATCGATGTGTTTGAGAATCTATGTGTTCATAGATCTTGAATGTTGACTTTCTTCAAAAACCAAATAGTAATTACTTACTTACTTCCTTACTTACGCCAGTTGCCCCCAATCGAGCATAGGCCGCCAACCAGTTTTCTCCAACCAGCTCTGTTCTTGGCCCCCCCCCATCCAGTTCTGTCCAATTTTTGTTCAATCTTCTCATATCTTTCTCTATTTCTCGGCGTAATGTGTTCCTTGGCGTTCCTCTTTTCGTTTTGCCTTCAGGGTTCCATCTGAGGGTTGGTCTCCTGATGCAGTTAGGTATTTTCGTAGAGTGTGTTCTATCTACTTCCACAGCTTCTTCCTGATTTCCTCCTCCACTGGAATCTGGTTTGTTCTCTCCCACAGTTCGTTGTTGCTGATGGTGTCTGGCCAACGAATCCGAAGTATTTTGTATAGACAACTGTTAATAACCACTTGTATCTTCTGGATGATGGCTTTGGTAGTTCTCCAAGTTTCCGCTCCATACAGTAGAATTGTCTTGACTTTTGAATTGAAAATCCTGATTTTGGTTTTGGTTAATAATTGTTTTGAGTTGCAGGTGATTTTCCACTGTAGAAATGCAGCCCTTGATTTGCCGATCCGCGCCCTCACATCCGCATTAGATCCACCTTGCTTGTCGATGATGCTGCCGAGATATGTTAAGGTGTTAACTTCCTCCAAGGTATCTCCATCAAGAGTGATTTGGTTGGTGCATGTTGTGTTGCATCGAAGATTTTCGCTTTTTCCTTTCCTTAAAGTGCTCTACCCACCTGTTTCGCTGCTCCTCAATAATTCTGATTACTTTGCCTTCCTTGTTTTTCACTGGTCGTTCTGGTTTACGATAGTTCCCGGCGAGCTTCTTTGTTATTTCATACAATTGTCTCAAGTTTCCTTCTCTTGCAGCCTTTTCCGCCGTCATTGCTAGATCTTCCACATATTTTCGTTTGTCAGCTCTGATGCTCTACTTCACTTCCCTGTTTGCTTATGTATATGCAGCTTGTGCGGTAACTTTCTCTGCTCTCGTTTGGCTGACATTGATTACTGTCCTCTTGTTCCTCCTTTCTTCGATTTTTGCAAGAGTACCAACAGATATTCATTCCTTGTTATGGTACTTCTTGTGACCCAGAACTTCGTGACATGTTGAAGCGATTGCCTCCTTAATCCCTTTCCAACTGTCCTCCAATAGTAATATTCGTATTTAATTTCAATTTCACTGTTAAGCGTACAGCACTATTTGATTGGTAACATAGTGATTTGCTTTAGGTTATATGCAAAAAGATTTTTCCACGTATTGTTCCAGGGATTGTACTGATTTTCACTGAATTAATCAGTGATATAAGTTGAACTTCACTTTGGTTTTGTGCTGAGTTACATCTTTCAGTATAAGGTTGTGAAGGTTATTGAGTTTCAATGAAATTACGAATCCATGAATGTTCGACCACCATTCCGAAGGTCATGAGGAATCCCATACTTCCTTCCTTCCAAGTTCTCAATGGTAATCTAACATTGATCAGTTCATGATTTAGATTTCCAAATAAATTTTCGCTTAAAACATTTATTAACCACATTTGTTGAATATAAAAATAATCTACAGAGTTTTAAAGACTTGCAATCCTAACAAATGCCACACACTTCTGGTGATCAGTCAATGAAGATACATTTTTTTTAATCCGAGAGAAAATTTTCTCTTCACCGACTTATGATCGTTACACTAAGAACAGAACAGACAATAACAGCTACTCCTCCACGATCAAGCAATACTGACCTTTCAGTATTCCGAAATCGGATTGACAGGTTTAGGAATCCTTATAGATAGTGCTGGTTAGTTATCTTAAGATTTAAAACGACACTACTGATAAATTTTTAAGTAGCTCAAATTTTTTTCAAACAGAGATTTCCTTTGTGACGACTGCCTTCAACTATCCAACATAAAAACTTACTTTTTTACAAAACAAGGTTTAACTTGTTCTTCAATTTCTGTAATCATTTTTAAACAATCATTATCGCTATTACATTGAACATTGTTCTCATCATTGATACTACTTCTAATATTCAATTCATTGGATTCAATAGTATCTAAAAGATTACAAATATATGAACGTTCTGCATCCAACTGTAAATTCAAATCAGGAATTAGTTGGAATAGTTTTTCTGGAAAATTGTTTATTCCAGTATAATAATGACTTGTCAGATATTGTTTTATAGCTTTAGTAATCGGACAATTGGCATCATGCATAAATATTCGATCTAAATTGATATTTTTCACAGATTCAATCAATAATGTATGTGAGGTATCGGAAAATACTGTTTGACATAAACAGACAATTGGCAAAGTTTGTTGTTTTTCCCATAAATCTATCAAATTGATCACTTCATGATGTAAATCACTGAGTAATTTGGACATCGTCAACTGGTAGAAAACAGAAGGATCATGAAAATGCGCGGTTTCTTCATCTATTATTGACAATTGATCATTGTTCAATGATTGTTGAACATCGTCCGACGAAATCATGCCGCCACGCGGTAAATTCAAATTCAAATGAGCAAAGTCAATTATTCCGTGTATTTTAATTAGTTTCGGTAAGAAATAAGCTATTTGAACAGTGAATTCTTGTTCAAAATAACCTGGTCTACATGGTAAAAAAGTAATTCGAATTGGTTGTGATTGATTTCCATTTATTTGACCATAGAATGGTTCAATTTTAAATTGACCAAACTGTGTACTTTTAGATGTTAATTGAATCGTGAAGTCAAATTGAACTTTTCCTGTATTTAAAATATTAAATTCACAAATCATTGATTTATCCAATCGAATATAACCAACATCCAGATCAGTTTGATCTAGTTGAAAATCAATTTCTGATGCGGAACCTTTTAATTCAATTTTATACTCAGGACCACCTTCGATTTCACATAAAGCTAATACTGATGCTTCAATTTCTGAATGTCCATAAAATGTACAACTTAGAGAAATTGTTTCACTTGGATTAATTTCCCCGTAAAGTGGCACTAGGTCGAATAATTCTTCAATACCTAACGGGACAATATCTTCATCCTCTTCGATTAGATTACGTAATATTCGATTGTCAGGAGAAGATGAATTAGTATTGGGGTTCTCGTCAGCTGATATATTTTCATCAGTTGGTTTATTGATCTCTGTAACTGGTAGATTTTGATCTGAGTCATTTTGTTGTTCAGTTTGGATTTGGGTTTCATGTTCTATTTGGTCAGTATCATTTGTACAAGTATCTTGTAAATTATTTTCAAGCATTGTAATTTGTTCTGCATTTTTATTGTCAATAGCATCATAATGCTCTAATTCGGTATCGTTTACAATAACAGGATGTTCTGTTAATCGAGCTTGACGTTTAAATATAATATTTGGTCGATCACCAATTAGTAGACTCCAACGAAATTTCACTGGTAAAGGACTGATATTTTTCATAGTTAAATGTTCTGTCATTTCTGTATTATTCAATATACAACCGAAATCGATTAGTTTAGAGCTGAATTGAACATTTGGAAAATGTACTTCACCAATTAAACGTACTGCATCCTATAATTTGTAGTAAAAGAAAGAAATATGTATAAGACGAAAAAGATCTTCAATATTTTTTTTACTTAGCCTAACTACCTACTAACTATATATGAGTAGTTTAAAATTGTATCGTCAAATGAGAACTCAAAAAAGATTTGGTAAAATTATAAATCATCATACCGGATATATTTTTTTACTATCTGTGAAAATTAATAAGCTTAAAAAAAGAAGTAAAAACAGTTGACGAAGAATCACCATGCAAATTTATACATTAGTAATATACTACGTAAACCCTCGATATTTTTCCGTTTAAAATCATGAATCGATCAATGTTAGACCACTATTAGAAACCTGGAAGCACTAGACGGTCGTTTCATCCAAGTATGTAACTCATCAGCAGTGTTCGTCCACGCCCTTTGCAGACAGGAATCAAACTGAAGACCACCAGTCTCTCTTTAGAACGCGTAACCTCTCGCGCACTGAGCTGGTCGCCAATCAACGGTATTAATGTCTAATTTTGATCAATCAAAGGTGTTAGGCAACCAAATGAAACATATTATAAAAAAACACTACAAGTAAGGTAAGCTCATGGAGAACAGTCACGTAATATTTGAAGTTGAACATCTGTTAGAGCTTAGTAGTGTTCTACACAAAAAGAACATTTGTGCGTTGTTATACCCAATGAAACTTCAAATAAGCATATGCACTTTTCATACGCCATCATCGTATGAGTTAACCGGTTAAAAGCACAGTGATCAAGGATCAAATTACAATTAAACCATCTAATCGAATTGTATTCAAGTTATGGAACTGAATTAAACATCATGTTTTAAGGTTAAGAAGGTTCCTCCAAAATGAACAAACTACAAACAGTATCGTACGTAAGGAAGATTGCAAAGTCAGAAAAATACCGTGTAAAATACTTTGAATAATTCAAGCTACTCAGTATTAATCAGTAGCATAGAATAAAGAAGTCTGCGAGCTGATATAAACGGATGTAAGACTTATTTCAGCTAAAATTTATTTTTTTCAAGGATATTTCAGAAAATTATCCAATCAAAGTCCAGCTGCAACTGTAATTAAAATGAATCCAATGTAATTTTTAAGCGAAGTCAATGAATAAAATCATGCAAGAAGTTGGAATATACATAGTCCAACCGAAGAAGAAAGAGCTCAAGATACACGTAAACGGAACCGTTACAGAAAATAATTCATAACCTACTTAACAGATTCTTTATCAATATCTTTTTTGGCATGATAGGGTTGTGGAGATTGTTGAGTTACATTATTTAAATCATGAACCGACCAATGTTAAATCACCATCAGCTACCTGGAAGCAGTGAAAAGCCTATTTGTCCTGGTATGGGACTCATCAGCAGTGCACATCCACAACTTCTCCAACCCGCAGGATTTGAAATCATTGGTCGTGACCAGTGAATTTTAACCCTGTTCTGGTGTGAAGTAGTGCTCACCGAAGTCAGTGAATGAGCTTCCACAAAACCGTGGATTCACGGAAGTTAGATTTCGGCTGAGTAGTCCAAAGGTTAAGCATTCGTGCCCAAGATCGAAGGCCCTAGGTTGGAATCCTGTGAGTAGTAGTAGAAGTCGTGGATGCGCACAGTCACTGATGAGTCTCATATTAGAAAGAAATGGTCGTCCAGTGCTTCCAGTGCTTTCTTCTAATGGTGGTGGTCTAACATTGATCAATTCATGATTTTAATGAGTAAATTAAAAAAAAGCAATTATCATTGAACAATGTAACTTACAATTTGTGGATGTTCAGCATATTTAATAAATAATAATTCATCAGCTCTTCGACTAAACAAATCATCTTTATACTTTGGATTAAATGAAACAGTAATCTCTTTGGATTCAAATGGTTTTATTTGAAATGTCTACAAAATAATTACAAAAATTTGGAAATCATTGATTGCTCTGATCTTATTTGTAAGGAATACTACTACTATTATACAATGAATGATAAGATAGGTGATCAAAATTACGTTAACGCCGTACAAGATATATTCGAGTGAATCTTATTATGTGGTGTGTGCTACTTATACGAACAATATAAGTAGTATAAGAAGGGACGTGAAAGAAGAAGTCTCACGGTCAGAAGAGGAAAACGGAAAGCAAATGGAGCAAAAGCAAGAAATAAATAGAGTACTAACAGGAAGTAAAGGAAGCAGCAGCAGGAATGGAAGAAGGATGGGGCGTTGGAAGTCACAACTCAAAGACGGTGTGCAAATAGAGTATTCAATGTAATGTTGTCGTTTTTAATTGACTAAGAGTGTTAATTGGCGTATTACAAACTTCAGCGCCTGCCTCAATTACACAAGATGCGAAGTCCACGACCAAGTATAGAGAATCAGAAGATACGATAGAGGTAGTAATTAACAAAACTACAGTCAGTTAAGTTTGCACTTGGTCAGTTCAGAGTGGAAATCACATTTGAAATGGTTGTTGGTGTCAGTCAATCTACATCTCAATCGCTAATCATCACATTTGTACAATAAATGTAAAACTGATATGTTCGTTAATTGATATGCGTGAAACTATTACGAGTTCACCTTACTTGGTAAATGATACACTGACACGACTGGCTATTCCAATCCGTCGTCCCAGCTCCGGCTAACAAAAGCAAGAAGTCTTGATAAGGCTTAGAGAATACATACACCCAGAAGATATGAGGTTGTTAAGCACACAAATCAAGCTGATTCATACAATGATAGCAATGTCCTTGGGAGGGCCATAAAAATAGCATACTAAAATAATCCATCAGCCAATTACAGTCAAGGATTTTTAAGTGGGAAATGTAACCTCAAGGTCAACTAAGCAACTTAGGCGCGAAAGCACAAAATATCCAAAATTAGTCCCCTTATCGAGTGAGTTCTGGGAATCTAACGTCCCGAACAAAAACAGAAATTAGGAAAATTTTTATTTTAAAAATTTTGGGCGTTATCATTCTATCGTCTTTAAAGCACTAGTGATAGTGTAGTGAAGGAGAACACAGGTGAGAGCAACCGAATTGTATTTAACGAAAATTACAGAGTTACTCAGTAAAATCGGAAAACCATATCGTAAACGGTTAATTTGCAAATCTTCAATCCATCATCAATCCACTGTCTGACATTTCACTATTCATGCGTTCCATACAAATTCGATTGTGTTCCCACTCTTCTTTTCTTGATCTTCCCCCATCTTCTGCTGTCAGACATTACGTTTTTACTTGCGTCATATACTACTTATAAGTAGCGCGCACCACAAAAGTAGTATACAATCAATCTTTTCACTGACATAGGACATTTTAGGGTATAAACTATCTTGGGTCAAGCAGTCTTAACAGCCATTGCACTGAAACGCTTGTTGCACTGTTACAATTTATACAAGCTAAAGCTTCGTGAGTTTCATGAGAATACTTCTCCATTTTCATTGGAAGTTTTATGTGATTTAATCAGTTCGTTTATCGGACAGAATATATGTAAATACAAATTTTTTCCCAATCAAATCATTGGTTCTGTTATCGAATAACTACAACAATAGTTTAAGTTAGTCGAATGTGGCTGCACAAAATCAGATTCTAGATGTGATCATATTTTCATTGCTGATTGGCCTAGAAAATATAGTTGATTACATTACTCTATTATTTTTAATTGAGATTCACTTCATATTTCCATTTAAAATAGGTCATCTTTGGGAGAAATGTTGCCGAATAGCTGAAAATGTATATGGCTTACTTACGCCTTTTACTCCCGAAGGAGCATAGGCCACCGAGCAGTATTCTCTAACCTACTCTGTCACAAACCTCCCTCCTGGTTTGCCTATTTTCCTTTTAGTCATGGGGACTTCAAGTGAGGGCTTGTCATGTGACGCGTTTGGTTGCTTTCTTCAATATGTGTCCTATCCACTTCCACCGCTTCTTCCTGATTTCCTCCTCCACTGGAATCTGATTTCTTCTCTCCCACAGTAGGTCATTGCTGGTAGTGCCTGGTCAACAGATCCTCAGTATCGTGTGTAGATTGACAGTTAACAAACACTTGTATCTTTCAGATGATGGCTTTCGTGGTTCAGCAAGTTTCCTCCCCATACAGTAGAACTGTCTTGATATTTATATTGAAAATTGTGACTCCAGTGTTTGTCGGTAGGTGTTTTGAGTTCCAAATGTTGTTCAGTAATAGAAATACTGCCATTTCTTTGCTGATTTGCCCCTTCACATCTGAATCAGAGTGATCTTACTCATTAATCAGGCTGACTATGATTGGTTCATGATTATTAAAAAATAATTCTATGAATCAATTAAATATATCTTTCAATAGAAATGAAAACCTCCGCCAGTAGAACCTTCGGGGCTACTGCCAGTCCCAAGCCTGGATAAAGGAGGGGGGTTAGGCATGATACATTCATAATTTCACTGTGAAACTGATTAACATAGACTAGACGTCCAATCACCATTCATTTCGAATTTCAGAAAAATCAATAACCATTCGGTCCCAAAAGTCTAGTGAACCGATATATGACTGAATGAATAGTTATCAGTTATTCTGTTGTCACATGTTTACAGAATAAACCGAATCCTTCTGTTTCAAATTAACTCCGCCAGCAGAACCTTCGCGGCTACTGCCAGATCCAAGCCCGGATAAAGGAGGAGGGTTGGCCATTGGGGTTGGCGACCCCATCCCATAAAAAAAACGAACTAACTTGCCAAAAAAAATACGCAAAACGCTAATATAAATGAAGATATTTTTTTAAAAAAATTCACATCGCAGTCTTACCATTTTTGAAGTGTACGTTTGATCAATGCATAAATGGAATGGATTGCAAACTTCCAATAAACATGTCAATACTAAATCAATTTTATTTGTCATTGTGAAATGATTGAATTGTGTCGATAGTTCATCAAATGGTCCCTAACAAAAATAAGAATTAAAAAATAAAGTGTTTTTCAACAGTGTTAGGGAATTTTTTTCTAAATTACGAATTGATTGATACAAGTTAGACTAGCTCTATCAAGACCTGATTTATTTTCCAAACGTATACAGTGTAGTGTGTCTATTTAGTGCGTGTTCTTAAGCTCAGTAATTAACTCGTCCAGACAATCGTTACTAAGTAGCGTCTGACGGTTTAACAATTAAAAGGTGAACTCGTAGTGATCAATACGTTTATTTGGGACACACCACAAAGAGAAGCGGAGAAGCAGTGCATAAGAGGGATGAAGCGATGTGAATTGGAGAAAGCTGTTGAGCCAACTCCTAGGATTACAATGCGAACGAATGGGCGAAGGAAGGGAATGTACAGGCGAAGCGCGTTGGAGAAGGCTAATGAGCCAACTCCAAGAGGCAGAGCGTGACTAAGAATATAAAGTCGGACAAATATAACACAGACATGTGACAAGCGAAATAGACGCACATGAATAGAAGCGACGAATAGTTGACAAGGGTCAAATGACAAGTGGGACAAGTCACATGAGCTCATTCAAGCCAAACAGTTATAAGAAAGAATGGTAAATTGTTCAGTAGAAGTGGCTTGGTTAAATAAATTAATCGAAAGGGCTTAACCAAAATAGATGTAAGCCAACTGGAATATATGTAGAGGCACTACAACATAATAAGGTTTATAAATTAGTTTAGAAACTAAATATTGTCCGACCACCATTATGCTATCCTAAGGCAAAGGTCCACCTGATATCCTCAAAGCCAAAGATGAAGACGAAGGCTACGGAACACATTACACCGAGAAATCGAGACAGACATGAGAAGAATGAAGAACAGTTGGATAGAACTAGGAAGGATGACCCAGGATAGAGTAGGTTGGAGAATACTAGTCGGTGGACTGTGTTCCACTGGGGGAATAGGCCTAAGTAAGTAAGTAAGTAAGTAACTGAATGGTTTAGATATTGTATCGCTATTCGAGTTACCCTTCAAATCAATTTAGGAGTATAGAAAAACAACACATTTACCATGAAATCTAAAGGTGTTTTGTAATTTTCAGTGATTTTTCCGCTCAAAAACCAATTCATGGTGTAAATTACAGAGAGACGAAATTGTCAATTTAAATCCCATCTTGGTTCATGTAGTAGAAATACTAGCGGTAATCGAAAAGGTTAAGGATCGAAGACATAATTTAGGAAGTACAACAACCCAGTCAAATGAATTTTAAGAAGAGAGAGATGAAGGTCATGAGGGTTTCAGAAGGTTAGATGGATGTATCTGTGCCATTGCGAACGGTTTTGAGCCATATCATCCAAGGTCTCTAACTATCGGTTACTACCATCTCGCGTACTCTAACCAGGTAGTCTACACCTATTAACATAGCTCAGTCCACTTGTCAGTGACTTCATGGATTTGTGCCTATCGGTATCAGTTTAATGGTCGAAAAAACAACACAAAATTGAATAAACGTTTGAAACTTTCGAGTTGATTGACTTATAATTTGAAGAGATACATACATGAAATAGACTGGCATATTTGTTATTCAACTATCAACCAATACACCTTTTCTATTCGATAAAATAATTCACAAGAATAAAACAGCAATCTCTAATACTTCCACGCTCCCAATAGTGGTCTATCGTCAATCCATTCATGTCTTGAGTTAAACTATCACTAAAGTCTATGAAATACTTGAAGAATGTTTTATCCTGCTTAGTATGAAACAACTTGTTAGGGATCATTCATCAGTTGGCAAGTCCTTAGGTTATATGGTTTCGTCAGTAAGTACTAAATTTTTCTTATAATGATCATGGGTTGGAGGAAATGCATCTTATCACTCACTATCTTCCAAAAGAAAGGCTTTGCACGCAACTTCATCAAAAAAACATCAACTGAAACCATTGACAGAAACGAAATCAAGTACAAGAACCCATAAACAAATCATCCTACCATACATAAAAGACATAACGGAGCATACAGCCCGACTACTGAAACCATTTGGAATAGGTGTGGCACATAAACCAACAGAATCACTTCAATCAATCCTATGTAGATCAAAGAACAAAAATGACAAAGGAAGAAAAACCACTTGTGATCTACAAAATAAATTGTTCAGACTGTGAAAAACACTACATAGGACAAAGTTGACGGCCTCTTCAGCCTCTTCGTTTACGCAAACACCAATTAGCAGTCAAACGCCACGACATTTCTCCCCGTTATATCAATAAATACGCTCTACTATGAACATACATTCGATTGGAACAATGTGAAAATACTGGATAGGCAGAGGACAAAGAACACTAAAGAATTTTTGGAATCTCGGCACTCAGGTCAATCAGCAATTAACAAACACATCTACAGTGACCCCATTTATTAACCAATGAGAAATATCACAGGCATACATAGGATAGGGGATACAATCAAAACAAAGGTGCAAACAACCACAGGTTTAAGGTCTACATCAACCAATCAAGACCGAGGTTGACAGAACAAGCTACAGGTCAAACGTGGACAAACTCGAAAACTTCTTTTCTTCTATCTGACGTTTGTGTTGATGATGTCGTCCACAAAGAAGAACAATGAAAGCTTCACAACCGAAACTTCCAGCTCAGAGAACGAAACAAAAATTCAGTATACAGACGAGCTTAAAACATCTCATCCTTAATCAATTAGAAAACAGCCTTCAATAAACGAGTAGATTCTCGAAAACAAATGTAAACAGATTTTTACACAACTATTGGATCTGACAAGAGAAAACTGGACATTTCGTAGCGCAAACACACATCACATTTCACTGATCAACTATGTTTTCACATTGTCCTATTAAAAATTTATAATAGGGATGTGAATTGTTTTGAAATTAATGAAGGCGGACTTCTTTCTACAAATTATGCTGTTTGTGCAAAACCCAATCGGAAAATACTTTCAAACTTCTTACCTTTTCTATACGATAAACTAATTCACTTGTTGATAATTCAATCATTGGTTTAATAAAATCAATTGAGACATCAATTGTTTTAATGAGATATTTAGCACTACGTCCAATTATTGAATGACATAAAATTTTCTCTTGAACTGTTTTAGCACTAGAATACGATTAAAAAAAATTTATAACTGGTGAAATCAATACATGAAAATTATAAGTAACATTCAGTCTTGTTTAAACTGGTATTTTTTATAAATGGAGAGGGATTCATGGAGATGATGTTGTTTTCATAGTTGAAATGACGAACTGATCTTGGTTAGATCATTTTTAGAAAGCAATGAGCAATGAACGATCCTCTCGTCCAAGTATGAGACTCCTAAGCTCTGTGTATCCATTATGGGTTGATCGAAGTTAGATATACACATCGTTGGATTTCGGCACGGTGATATACAGGTTAAGCGTTCGAGTGATACGAAGGTGCTGGGTTCGGTTCCCGTGTGCGTGTTTCATGGGCGTGCACTTCCGAGAATTCCCGTACTAGGACAAGATGGTCGTCCAATGCTTTCAGGTTTCTAATGACGATCTATCTAGGTTAGATCGTTTCGTGAATTCGACTGTGGAAATAAATTGCCATTCCTTAATAATTTTAACGTTTTGAGCTTTGTAAGATATTGTAGGGTTCGTCACTCGGTACGCTTGAAGCTATTACGAGTTCACCTTAGTCGATAAACGCGAACGAGACAATTACCAGCGTCCAGATAGGCTACCTTGAATCCCAAGCTGAAGACAAAATGCTTTGTAAGCATAGAAAGTATATCCTACAAACACCCAGCAATCACAATACAATCATGCATACAACTCTCGTTTATTTATATATCATAGAAACGTCCTTGGGACAGTTACGAAAATCGCACACTAAAATACACAGCAGCCAATCACAGCCATGAATTTCCCTGGTGGGAAATGAAATCTCACGGTCAACTGACTAGCGCATGCTGGTAAACGTGAAATCCAAAATGAGGCATTTAACAAGCGAGTTTTGCGGATCTAACATCCCCAACAGATATAAGTTATTTATTTTTGGACTTCGTACCTCCTTTTACAAACTTTTACTGTATTTGAAATGTGACTACCAATGAAGTCCAAGAAATGTCTTTTTTGCATGGCTGGAATTCATCAGGTGGATGTAAATGGATACTAGTAATGACATTCAAATTGAAACTTTCGAACTTAGCGCTTATCATTTCAAATAACAATAAATTTTTTATCAAAGTGTTGACAAGTTAGCCAAATATTAAACCTAACAATCAATTAGCAATTGACGGTATCTAAAAATTAGTTCCTTTCAATTGACTATGACACACGACATCGCGTTTACTTAGTGTTGATATTGTGGTGGCGTTTTGTTCTTCGACATGAATGTTTTGATTGTGAAGTTTTCATTGTTCTTCTTTGTGAACAACATCATCAGCACGAACCTGAGACAGAAGTGAAGTATTCGAATTTCTTCAGGTATGAGTTGTAGCTTCGACTGTTGACCTTGATCTTGATTGGTTGTTATTGAAATTAAACCTGTCATTGCCTGATTGTACCCCCACTTTGATCTGTCCTTGATCCTGAGTTTGCTTATGATTGTTCTGATTGGTTGATAAATTTAGTCACTGTCAATGTGTTTGTTGATCGCTGATCGATCTGAGTGCCAAGTGTTGATTCTTTTAATAAAACCACATCATTTTGATTGAATAAAAGAATTATTTCTTCATGAAAGAAAGCTTCCACGCAACTAAAACTTCTCACTTTCGTTCAATTTGCTGAAGTGAAAATTTTCAGTAATTAGCTTAGTGTACAAGCTTATCATATACAAATTCTGGTTAGATGTTTTCGAATAGTTCAAGCGATTAAGAATAAACTTCATATCAGTTGAATAAGTTGGAAGTAGGATTCAATCTCAAAGAATTTTCACTACTGAATAAATGATTATTACTGAGTGAGACAGGAATTTATTGAATTTCAGGTTAGGAATGATCTTACGGTGGCATCATTCAGCCTTTGGTGCTATTTGATTTTCGCTAGTTCCTGAGATAAAGAAGTAAGTATACTCAGTAGCAGTTCTTTCTGTTCTTCTCTGTGAAGTGGTATTTGAAAGAAAGAGAGAATATTCGAAGATTAATAGTGGAGGACGTTAACACCTTTACATATCTGGGCAGTATCATCGACGAGAAAGGTGGATCCGATGCAGATGTGAGGGCGCGGATTGGCAAAGCAAGGGCTGCATTTCTACAATTGAAAATTATCTGGAACTCCAAACAACTTTCAACCAAAACCAAAATCACGATTTTCAATACAAATGTCAAGACAGTTCTATTGTATGGAGCGGAAACTTGGAGAACTACGAAAGGCATCATCCAGAAGATACAAGTGTTTATTAACAGTTGTCTACTCAAAATACTTCGGACTCGTTCGTCAGACACTATCAGCAACAGCTTACTGTGGGAGAGAACAAACACGATTCCACTGGAGGAGGAAATCAGGAAGAAGTGGTGGAAGTGGATAGGAAACACACTGCGAAAAGCACCCGAATGAGTAACAGGACATGCCCTTACATGGAACCCTCAAAGCAAAAGGAAAAGAGGAAGGCCAAGGAACACATTACACTGAGAAATAGAGAAAGATATGAGAAGAATGAACGAATATTGGACAGAACTTGAAAGGGAAGCCCAGGACAGAGTTGGTTGGAGAAAACTGGTTGGTGGCCTATGCTTGATTGAGGGTAATAGGCGTAAGTAAGTAAGTAAGTTTATCATAGATGTATTCAAAGCGTTGCCTGCATTATATCCGATTATTGAGTGAACAACGATAAGGTTAGACACAGAGTGATAAGTAAAAATGGTAAATCAGTTCACAAAATAGTAAATCTTTATCGACAGAGGTGAATGGAATGCGACTTATCCTAATTTTTTATAACTACTGCCTAACTTGACATGCAATGTTTCCTGGTGTAGGAATATGTAGGATGAACGCTAGGGGATGGCAAACCAAACGTTGTCATCACTCCACGAATCCATCTTTTGTTGAAGTGAGCTGTGTTAGCTGTGGACTACCTGGTTAGGGTCCATAAAATAATCAGAACCATTGCTTAGAGGAGTTGGGTACAGTCTCAGAATCAGCCTTAATAGATTTGCCCTTTATCTTTCCTTTAAAGTTAACTTTTCGTTTTGCAATTCACAAGTTTATGACTCATATTTCCCAATTATCATTGATAATATTACAATTTCTAGTACTTTAGGATTTGTCTTGAAAATTTTACCATGCTATGCTATGAATCGTTGCACTAACGTTTCAGAATGATCGTTGCTTAAAGATGACTCGAAATTAAATTATGAATAACATTTAAACCTCTAATATCAACAATGAAGTTGAGAAATAATGATAACGATTGAAATCATGAATCGACTAATGTTAAGCCACCATTAGAAGTTTGGAAGCACTAGACGGCTGTTCCTTCTTAGTTTGTAAATCATCCGCAGTGTGCATCCACGACCTTTGGAGGCAGGAATTGAACCGGGGACCTTCGGCCTCTCACGCAGTAATGTGGATTGATCTAAGTTAGTATTTTCACCACTCAATGACAGCTCAATGGTCGCTCATGAAAGTGAAAGTACTAGGTTTGATTACTGTTCGTGGGGTGGGGGTTGGATGCGCAATGCAGATGAATACCATATCAGAATGAAACAGCCATCCAGTGCTTCCACGCTTCTAATGGTGGTCTAACATTGATTAACACGAAATCTAAAGATCTCTAAAACCCTATAATCACCAGTAATAATAGCAATAATGCCTGTTTTATATTTTATTGACTATCAGTAATTTTATTCCACCACTAAAAAAATCTCTACTTAAAAACTCACCAATCACATTGAACTTCTAAACAAATTTCTGTAGATGCTCCTGGATTAAGATCAAACCGATGTGGTGTAATTGACCATTTCGATTCGGATTTATTTGATAACTAGAATGAAATTTTTATATTACAGAATAAGTGATTATGATAACAATGTTGAACGGTTTGTTCAAATTTACGTAGAAATTTGTTTACTACTTGTGAGTAGTAAGAGCGGATGTCTTTAAAAAAATCATTCCTGCAGTTGCAAACAACCGGTATTTTAACAATCAAAACTATTCCATTTAGTGGATCCAAAGGATCAGACTACTGTCTGATAAATTACAAGAAACAACCTTAGTACTCTAAAGTCTAGTGTCCTCATTTAAATCCCAGTGATTACAGTTTGCTTTTCAGGATTGAGAAACAACCAAAATATCAAAACTGTCATGGTAGGCGTTGGAGTTTAGCGAAAAAGCTACCAGTAAACATTAGTTTTCAATGGGGCAAGCCAGTAAAAGAGTAATCTAAAGACTTAGTTTCCAAAACGTTAACGTACGTATTTAGGAAGAAAGAAACCGACTAAGAAATTTATACAGGATTAATGAGTTTGTTGAGACATGTTTGTGATTAATTAAAGTTAGTTTTCTTCAAGAAAGGATAACAAATGAGGAATTTTTTAAGACTGTGGATTATTGTACAACTGTGATAGACTTAACAAAAGCAATTCATCCTAAGACCTCACTAAGATTTAAGTGATTCATCTTAAAATCAGTCACCATTAATTAAGTACGTGGTTAACATCTGGTAGTGGGGTTTTCGAAAATTAACGTAAAAAGAAGTCGCTTTTCATCAAGAGTATAAGATAACTGATTGATTTTGTTTACATAAATATTCGCTTTATGTCCGAATGAATATTTTGACAGAAATCGGTCCCGGAGTGTAAAAA